CTCAGAGGAACAAACAGGAAATATTGCTTTATTCTGGGAATCCTAAACAATGACTTACAGTTTGTAGAGGTGCATCCAAAATAGGTTTCAGCAATCTGATTGTCCCACAGGTAAATTGACATTAGATTTTCCCCTCTTCTCCCAAGCGTCACATGGTGGGGTGATTGAGGGATTTCCAGCCGTGTGGCTGGATGTGATGGCCAAAGAACAAAGGACTAACCCCAGGCTAGTGTCCAGGGATGCCCTTCTGAAGCTCCGCCCCTGACCCTAACTCCTCCCCCTGACCTGTTACATAGGGATACATAGAGTTATACAAGGTACATAGAGTTATGGTTACATAGAGTTATACAAGGTTACATGGATCTATGTGATCCAGAACAACTGATTAGTTGGAAATTTTGGAAATTGTAATTCTAATTTATATGGAGGCAAACTGAAATATATGACAAACTGATATATTTTCCTTTTATAAATGCAGCTCTTCAGAAGTTGAATTACAACAATCTAGAAACCGGTCTAGAGAGAAATGGAGGGAGCTGTAATTACACTGGAAAAGCAATTTCTCAGACCTTCACCTTCATTGAAAAACTAGCAGACCCAGCATGTGGAGCTGCTCCTGGTTGCTAACATAGCTCTTGAAGCAGGGATGTTACATGGATGCACTGATACTGAGTTTGTTGCTTCCAAATGCTCTTCAACAGCAGGCCAATGCAGAGAGCATTGCAGTAAACCCCTTGAGAATTGACAGGGGCTTTAGGAAATGCAGCCTTACATCAATACATTCTGACAAACTCCAAACACTGTGATTTTCATAACTGTGAATAGCCAGCTATTAAACAAAGTACATGTAGCTCGGGAATCTAACTTTTCTTAATTTGGTCAAGGGTGAAATTTGATATTTGATCTTAAACCCAAGTCCAGAATATTTATGAGTATACTGAAGACAGCAGTTCATGCAGAAGGTGAAGGATGCAGGGCTTCAGTCTTACTCTTTTTCCTGATACCAGAGCCAAATAAACACAGGATTTCCTCTCTGCACAGGAAATGGTGGTGTTTTCTTTCAACAGGAGAATTTCATGGTGAGCTGGCGGAAATCTGGAAATGCTGCCAGAAAGATGTATTGTTTGCACGGTCACCTCCAGAAACCCTTGCACTCTGCCCCTGTAATGTAGCATGAGCAAGAAGCAAAGAACTTATCTTTGCTAGTATTCATGCTAGATGCTTGATTGGTTTTAAACTAGGGAATTCTGGGAGTTTTGTCCACATATCTTTTAAATTGCCAATGTTTTTTTTAAAACAAGTTTTATTGATTTTCCAATTTTACAAAAATCCAAGTATTAAGGAAGCAACATGGTGATTGGGTAATCCATAATCCAATAACAAGCTCTTTTATACATATGTCAGGTTACATCATCAAAAATTTCCTCTCTATTTCCCTTGGTTATTATATCACATTCAAATTAATACATTACTAGTTATAACTCAATCCGTTAAGACATTTATCAATATATTTTAACTTATACATATCCAATGTTGAGAAACACTGTTTTAGATCTATCTACTTAAAACATTAAGGCTTCTTTTCAAATATATATTATTAGCTGATCACATGGTTCTAGTTTAAAATACAGCAGGACCTTTTAATGGAAAAGTGATCAGCTAATTTCATGATGCCTCTTTAGGTAGCACAACATCCAAGAGCAGACAGTTGCCTCTCTTGAGGAAATACACAATCCTTTTCCTGTGTCAACCAAATTTCAAAGGAGTTTTCAGGAGAAAAGGTGGATTTCTTGAATGAAAGTCATTCTGAAAAAGACCTCAGATCAAACTTAACTCACCTGAGCCTTATAGGTTTTTTTCTTAATATATAGCAATATTGACACAGTGCAGACTTTGTAAAGGATTGTTCCAAAATTTGCTTTCTAATGTATAAGTGTATGCCAAACTTGAAGCAGACTCTTGGGCTGACTTGTAAATGGGATGGCATCCTGGTGTTCATGGATAAATCTCATTGTAAGAGTGTAAAAGACACGGGGCAAACTTTGCATTTATAAAGGTTGCCTAGAGATATGCAGTGGGTGGCTTGAGATCTATTTTCAAGTTTAGCCTTTTATACTCCTGAATTTGTGTTGGATGTCTTAGTTTTTACAATTATCTTTTTTGTTTTTGTTTTGTTTTCTTTTATTTTTGCTAGGTTGGTGATAAGGTGATGGTGATGGCCCGGTCAGGTCTCTGGCAAGAAATTGTGACAGTCCAAGCCAATCAGACTTTTCTCATGCCAGAAGGAATGAGCTTTGAGGAAGCAGCTGCCTTTTTGGTCAATTACATCACTGCCTACATGGTTCTCTTTGACTTTGGCAATCTGCGCCCTGACCAGAGTGTCCTTGTCCACATGGCAGCAGGTAACAAAACCTGTCCTTCTGTTCTTGCAATGTATTGAAGTCACTTCCAACATGGATCTTGAAGTCTTCTCCTGCTCTACAATACTAATGTATTTACACTCATATATTACATTTATAGGTAGTCCTCGAGTTACAACAGTTTATTTAGTAATGGTTTGGAGTTACAATAGTCACTGAAAAAAGTGACTTCTGACCATTTTTCACGCTTACGACTGTCCAGCATCTCCATGGTCACATGATCAAAATTCAAACACTTGGCAACTGACTCATATTTATGCTGGTTGCAATGTCCTGGGGTCATGTGATCATTTTTTGTGACCTTCTGACAAGCAAAGTCAAAAGACAGATTCACTTAACAATCCTGTTACTAACTTAACAACTGCAGTAATTCACTTAACAATTGTGACAAGAAATTTACTTAACTGTCTCACTTAGCGATATCAGTTTTGAGCTCAATTATGCTTATAAGTCAAGGATTACCTGAATAGTATATCCGACCTTTCAGAATGCTTAAATGGTGACAGTATTTACCTCTGTTATTGTTAATTGATTATTCTGTTGGGACATTTATTTGCAAGTATTTTACTTTTTTTGTGCATCTTCTTGAGAGATTTTTAGCTAAAAGGTACTAACATATCATAGATACAAGTAAAACAGGTTGTCATGGTTCCGATAGATGAAACCAATTAAAAGAACTTCAAGGCAAGAGTTTCTTCCTCAAAGAACATTTTATTCAGGAAACAAAGTATTGGCACTTACATAGTTGAACCCAAGACTGAGATTCCCTCCCCCCAGATACAAAGTAACAAGTTGCAATTCCCACCCCACAAAAGCTGTTATAAATCACATTCCCCAATTATCAGACAATGTCCTTGAGTTCCCACACTTCTGCATTGTTATGGCTAGCTAAACCCTCAAGCATTTACCCCATCCCCCTTTCTACATCTGAGCTCTAAAAGAAAAGAAAAGGCACATTAAAAGCAAAGATAAAATGGCTGCTGAATCTCAGTTGTCAAAGCATGGACACAGGTTACATTATGAAGAGCATCTGACATAAGTTCATATAAATTGGATTTATGCATTTGTACTACTAAACTGAAAAATAACTTTCTTTTTGACTCAAGAGAATTCAGTTTTTGTAGTTTTTTAATTATGGTTTATGACTCTGAGTTCTCTGTGAACCAGCTACTTATGAGTTATTCACTAACCATGGTTTAAAAATCAAGGCTGTACATAATCCACAGATAGTTATTGACTTAAAACTATGCATTTAGTGACTGTTTGAAGTTATAATGGCATTGAAAAAAGTGGCATACTATCAGTTCTTGCACTTATGACTATCACAGCATTGTCATGGTCATGTGATCAAAATTTGGGTGCTCGACATACACCGTAGGTATTTATGACAGTTGCAGTATCCTGGGATTATGTCATCTTCACTTGTGACCTCCCCAGCCAGCTTCACTTGTGACTTCCCCACCCAGTTTCTGACAAGCACAGTCTAATGGGGGCAAGGTGAATGACCACCCAATCCACTTAACAACTGTAGGAATTCACTTAGTTGTAAGTTGAGGATTACCTGTATAAAGTCAGCCATTCGTAAATTTCATGTGGTTGGAAAACTATTTTTTCCCAGCCATAAATTGGATTCGTAATGCTGTTAAGTTGGATGGGCAATCTTGAATCCCCATAGCAACCTGCCATCGGCGGGTGAGACGTCGGCGGTGAGACGTCTCAACCTGCCATCGGCGGGTGAGACGTCGGCGGTGGCTCGGGAGTTCATGGCCTCCATGACGACCATGGACTTGACCCAATTAGTTCATGCCCCCACTCACACGGGAGGACACACACTAGATCTAATTTTTGTCTCTGGCCAGTGGCAGAATGATCTGGAAATGGGGGAGATAAACATAGAGCCCTTGTCATGGTCA